TGGGCGTGTGGTGCTCACTTCGGACCCACTTCTGTGGGATGACGAGCTGCTCCCTTCACCACGCTGCCTTCCCAGGCGAGGCACCTGCTGGGAGGCAGGCTGCACTTCCGGGCTGAGGCCGGGGGCGGGCTGGCAGGGTCTGCATCTTGTGGCTTGAGGGAAAGTGACCAAGGCCTGCTGCCTTTCTCTCAGCCCCAGGCCACCCGCATTCAGCCTGTTCCCCTCTCCCCACCTCTGAATTCTGGGGAGGATGCCATGTGGCGAGGGGAGGGAGCACAGTCGACAGGGGCAATCCCCTCCTCTTTGGAAGGTGCCTCCAAAGCTGCTGAGCAGCCCCTCATTTATTATTATTGAATGTCTGCTCTGTGTGCCAGGCCGTCTCTATTCTGTTTTCTTTCCCCTAATGGAGGCACTGGGGATTGAACCAGGACCCCGTGCACACCAAGCACAGGCTCAGCCACTGAGCTATACCCCCACCCCCAAGGCTGTCTCTGTTCTCAAAGAGCTTGCAGTCCGGTGTAAAGGGCTAACCAGCACACGGAGTGCTAAGTGACACAGGGGACGAAGGCATGGGTGCTCTAAGACCACAGAAAGGGGTGGAAGGTGGGGGAAGCTCCTCAGGGCAAAGGACTCCTGAGTTGGGCTCAGGGATGAGGACTTGCCCGGGTGGGTCATTCAGAGGAGGATCAGGGGAAGCAGGAAGGATGATGGAGGAGAAACAAGCGTGAAGTCATGAAGGCCGGAAGCTCTCTGCCGTGAGCCACGGGCCGCCGGCAGTTACAGCTGCGAAGTTCTAGGCGGGGACAGAGAAGTGATGAGGTAAAGCTGGAGGAGGAGGCAGGGTCAGCTCCTGAGGAAGTTTATGTGACAGGTTAAGTCATTCGAGCCATTCTCTAGGCAAAGAGGAGCCCTTAAGGGTTTTCGGCGAGAGAGTGACATGCTTAGATTTGCGTCTCAGTAAGACTTCCTTGGCCAGCTTCCTCTGGAGGGAGGAAGGGGAGCTTGAAGCTTCCGAAGCTGGTTAGGAGGTTCTGAACAGCGAGGTGAGAGAGGATGAGGGCTCGTCTGCTGGAAAAGCCATGAATCCTCAGTCTGAACAGACATTCCTCTGGGCCTGGGAGACGGCAGGGAGCGCTGAGGGTGAGACATCTGACATTTCCTGCACCTGGAAGACAGATGCATCTGAAAATACCCCACTAGGAATTTTACGATCAGTTTCGTTCTTAGAATCTATTTTTGGCAACTGACTTTTTGTATTTATTGATCCATCTGTGAGCAGCAGCAGATGTGACTTCACCCACAGAGCCTCCCAGGAGCTGCCTGTGCTCGTGTCCCTGGCTGGAATATGTGGTCACGTGGAAGCTGGACAGGAAATTAGCAGCTGGTTTTTTTCCTGCCATCTCCCCAGTTCCACCCACTTGCGGGGTGGGGGATTCATGGACATGATCTCTCAGATCTAGCTCCAGAGCCTCGCCTCGGAGCTTCGAAGCAAGACATCCCTGTGTGCTGTGCCTGACCTTTCAGAGCGCTGGCCTGCTGTGCAGCCAGTTGCCTCCAGCCAGCCTCACTGGGGAGGAACAGAAGTCCTCTCCCAAGCTGTACGCTCCCTCATTCTCAAGAATGCACAATGCAAGGGGGTCTACGGTAGAGTGTCCTCTTGCTGCTGTCCTCATGGACCCTCGAAACGGCTTTCCCATGGAAGGAGAAGGCTTGAGGCTTGGCCCTGCCCCTCACGTTATCCGTGAACCATCGCCTCGTGGTGCCATCCTCCAGATGTTGCTTATTTATTTACACACCCCTCTCCCTTCTGGGGCAGGGCCCTGCTGAGCGCCGCCGGGGCCGGGCCAGGGGTAATTATGACATTCTGCAGGGAGGTGGCTCACTCATCACGTTCTAGCCATCTTCCCCCAAATTGCCTTTGATCCAGCTATTTGCTGGGCAGGTAGCCATTAAGAGATGTCTATCTTTGGTTTCATTTACATGGGAGAAAAGAACTAAATTGGCAAATGGATGGTCCCGTGTTCTCAGAGTTGGCCACCACCCAGTCTGTGCCGAGTCCTCGGCGCTTCCTAGGCGAGCGCCAGACCCGCACCCACCCGGCCGTGGAGCCGCTTGTTGGGGGGCCTACCCTACAGCGGGCGGGCAGGTGCCCAAGGTGGGGTGCCTGCTACAGGCTCGTGCTCAGGTAGAGGAAGGTGTTCTTCCTTCTTTTCCTTGGTGTCTTTTTTTATTGTTGTTGTTCATTGAACAAATGAAAGAACTTCTTGGTGAGGGGGGTCTCTGTAATATTCATGATTATATCATTTTTTTCCATTACGAAAGAAATAAGCCTATTAATAAAAATCCAGGAAATAAAACTTCTCCTCTTGTTATCTAGAACTCCATTGTCCTAAAATGGCTGGACTGTTGACAGGTTTCCTTCTATTGTTATTCATTATTATTCACCGAAGTTTTTGGTTAAACACAGTTGTTTATGCCACGCATTCAATTGGGGTCTTACTTTTTTATGTTTTAGTTACACTTAATACGTTTTAATGGTTATGTACTGTTGCATCAAATAGTAGGTCCAAATTTATTTAACCAAATGTTCATGTTAAATATTTAAATTGTCTCTAAGTCACACTGTGATCATCAGCTTTGTTATAGCTTCTTTTCCTCTATTTTGGAATTATTTTTTTTGCATAGATTCCAAGATGTGGAGCAGTTGGGTTAAAGGATTGAATCATTTCACACTTTTGATACATATTTCCATGTTCCTCAAGTCGTTTTCCAAAAGCGTTTTGTCTGTCTCTACTCTCACCAACAGTGGCACACTCTTAGCTCAGGTTCTGGGTTTGTTATTTAAAAGTGATCATTAAACAGATAAAAAAGGATGTCACATTATTTTTCTATCTTCTTTCTCTCTCCTCCCCCACCTTTTTTCCCCATTTTTTTAAAATGGAGGCACTGGGGATTGAACCCAGGACCTCGCACATGCTAAGCATGTGCTCTACCGCTGAGCTATACCCTCCCCCCTCTTCTTTTTGATTCCTAGGGAGGTGGAGGAGTTTCCCACCTGCTATCAGCAGTTGACCACCGCTCCCGCATGCCTTAAAGTAGGCTTCCAGAGGTTCCCAGCATCCAGGAGACACCTCTCTGCAGGGCCCTAGAGTGTGGGTGCCAGGCTCTCATTCTTCCCAGGAGACCCTAAGACCCCCCAGGCTCCTCATGGCAGAGAAAGCAACCAGTAGGTTTCACATCTAGAAAATGAGGGGCTGCACCTCAAAGGCCATGTTTAGCTCTTGGGTCCTAAAAGCCCTTCTGCAACCAGCTAATTATATGACCTTGATCTGGTTGGGGGTTGGGGGCCCCAGCTGTCTTTTCTTGGGCTTTTTTGAACTATCGGTACCTACTGTGCCCTTTGCTGTCCTGAACCATTTTCCAGACTCAGAAGGATGGAAAGCTGTTTATGGGCCATGAGTCCACAGAGACTCCCTCAGATTTGGCCTCTTTCATTACCTCTGTGACAGCAAAGAATTCTAAACCTACTTCTGTTTGAAGTTTGTGGGCTGTAATGCTGAGCTGGGTTTTCGGAAAGAACCAATCAAGTTTCTTTCCTGGAAATAACAGGCGTGCCTCATGCTCAACTCATCCACAAGCTGAGCCTGCGCCCGGCCCAGGACCTGGCCACCTGGAGGGGAACCTCAGGGGCAGAGGGCCCCATCATCAAGAGGCGTGGAGACTGGGGAGATGAGGGAGACTGAAATGGTGGCAGTAAGCCCGCCCTCCCAGGCCCTGAAGGCTTGCTTCCTACGGTTGTCTCTTCAACTCTCCGTGCCCTCTCCGTATCCTAACATCCTGCCCAGCAGTATGAGCTAAGTTCCCCTTTGTGAATTAAGCCACCCTGACTCCCTGTAGCTACAGGTAAGTAACCCCCATTGACACATCCGCTGTGAATCCTTTTTCTGTTCATTTCTAATTAAGGTCCTCCCAGATTTATCCTTTTCTATTTTTTGTACTTCAGTATTTCTTTTGAAATTTTTTAGATTCACAGAAGGTTGCAAAAACAGAGATCCCATGTCCCCTTCGCTGGAATTCCCTCAGTGGTGACATGCTGCATAACTTTAGTCCTGGATCAAAACCAGCCAGCTGACATTGGTATAATCCACAACTCCTCTTTTATTTTTATTTTTTAAAAGGATGCCTAGCTGTGCTTACAGGTGTGAGATAGAACCTGACTAGTGCACTCAAGAGACTTACAGCCTGACGAGAAATAGAAGAACAGGGCAATTAAGTTCAGGTGTGATGTGTGACCACCCCTGGGCAGGTGCCGTGTGCTCCTCTCACTGAGCACTATGTTCCAGCAAACCAGGTACTTGGCTTTTGTTAGCTCCTTAAGCCACACAACGACCAGGTAACACCAGTGCAATGGGCATTTTCATTCCTTTTACAGAGAGAAGGACATTAGGGCTCAGAGAAGTTAACCAACTTGCTTAAGGTCACAGTTTTTGGAAAGCAGAGCTAGAGTTTAAACCCAGGCAGCCTATGTTCAGGGTGTTCTGCCCAAGCATCATGCAGTGGGGCTAATAGCCAAGGGTAGAATTCTTTTCCTGAGTCTTCCTGGACCTTTCCCAACATCCCCCTCTTCCCCACCTTGAGCTCAGTGGGTTCCTGGGGTTAGCCACTTCAGCAGCCCTGTTCCTGGCTCTCTCAGGCTGTGCTCTAGCAAGGGCATGTTCCCGAGGTGCATCTTCAGGAGATGTCACATCTCTCTACGCAGCAGGGGTCAGAAGTGCAGCTGTCTTCCAAGGTTGTTGAGTGTGCAGGGCTGGGGTCCTAGCCTTACTCTCAGGGGATTGCTTCTTGGTGGTATAAAGCTGGAAAACAAACACACTGAAAACTGCCAAGAAACCAGGAGAAGAAAGTCTTGCACAGCAGAGGAACACGTTTACTTGTCAGTTCATGGCTTCAGTTCTCAGCCCCGTGCTGGTGAGCACGGCGGAGGTGGTGGGGTTAGCGGGCTGGGTGGGGTCTTCAGCGCCTCACTCTGGGGGAGGGCAGGGCGGCGGGCATTTAGGAGGACAGGGCTTGGCACATGGCTTGGGGGGAGAGGAAGCTGGGCACGGGCACGACGGCGGAGGGCACGGCGGGGGGCACGGCAGGGGGCACGGCAGGGGGCACGGGGGGCACGGGGGGCATTTTGGTGGTGCTGGGCACTTTTCTCGTGGGCACTTTTCAGTGCACCGTTGCAGCAGCCTCTTTAAACAGCTGGGCTGGCATTTAGTCTCACACTTTTGTTCACACCTGGGGTCACAGTGCTTGGGCTCATTCTTGGGTTCACTAGGTTTATTTTTATCATCACTCGACATTCCTTCTTGATTTTCTGAGCCCTGCAAAGAAATACGTGACAGGTTGTATGTGGGAGACCACACCGCAAAGTGGGAGAGGACCAGTACAGCCCCCCACTCACACCCCCTGCCCTGCCCATCCTTGTTCTTACGAAAGCCTTTCCCGGGATGCGTTCGGGCCCCAGACCAAATTGTCACCTAAGGACTGTCCTCTCGTCCTTGCAGTGCATCGGTGGCAACATTTCCTGATCTCTCCACCCTTACTATGCTTCCTTTTTATTTACTCCTGTCCCCATCCCTTAGCACCTAGCAGGAATTCTTAACCTAGGGTCCTGGGACCACCCCTCCACCCAGTCATAAGAACCATATTTAACCATATGTTTATCAAAATAGTTGGTATCTTCTGTAAGTCCATGTATTTTATTTCATTCATTTAAAAACATTATTCTGAAGAGTCCATAAGTTTGATCAGAGTTCTAAAGGCATCCATGGTATGATAAAGTTTTTTTTAAGGTTTATTTATTTATTTTTAGAGGAGGTACTGGGGATTGAACCCAGGACCTCATGCATATTAAGCATGTGCTCTACCACTTGAGCTAATTACCCTCCCCCTTGATAAAGATTTTAAACAACTCCTGTAAGGCCACTTCCCCATCCCTCTGGAGATGGAATGGGAGGGTATATTAGTGAGCTTGGGGACCCAGGACACTATTGTCAATTTTGTGTCCTGCCTAAGCACTGAGAACCTTGAGAATTGTTTTCTTTACTTGAGGACTGAGGATGGGAAGAGCTGAATCCCCACCATGGACTCCCATGGACCACTCTAGGAACTCCTGCCCCAGTGATCAGGGTAAGGGAGGAAGTCAGGAGAAGACAAGATGAACTGGAAAATTCTAACTTCTCTGAAAATATGAATGTTGGAGCTACACAATATGAGTTTAAAGAGGAATTGTTTCTTCCGCTCTGTTGAGTTTTGCCTTCAGCTAGGTCTTTCTCTAGAGACAGTTTGACTTCTAGATACGGAGAGGGCTGTTTAGTCTCTGACGGTACTGGCAAGTTGGATCTAACTGGTACATCTTTGATTTCCTTTAACAATATAAAGATAAAATTTTATCTAATTTTGTTTTAAAATTAGTATAGCTCTCTGGAGAGACAGATCATTACACTGGACTCCAAAATGGTTAAGAGTCTGCACTGGAAAAGAGGGGTAGGCAATTCCTGTTACTAAAAATGAGAGGGAACTTTCACCCAAACAGAGCCATCATCTCAGCCCTACTCAATGCCTGGGTGCTGTCGGTCACCCCCCGGAAAGCAGAGGTAAAAGAAGGGGCATTTCCATTTGTCCAAATGCAACTCACCCCTTTGTGTTGGTATTGAACTTGACAAGTAGTCGAGTGAGGTGGATGTTACGGCTGTGCTTGGGAAGGTGGATTCTCCCTCTGGTTCCTCTGTCCAGCTCTGAGGAAGCCCAGGTAAGAGGGGAAGGAGGAACCCCCTTGTGACCTCATCACTGCGTCATCAAGTAGCGATTGTTGTGTGACTCCAGAGCTCCCAGCTCAGCTCAAGCCCTTGAACATGAGAATAGGCTATGATTAGCATCCCCTTTGCTGTCTCGCCCTCTCCTTGGGTCCCTCAAAATTCATGCCAGTGAAATCAGGCTACAGTGAAGGGTTCTGAACTTTAAGGTTAGGGAGGCTCATTGCTGCTAGGAGCAGAAAAGCTCTGTTAACACGTGGCCTTTCTCTCCTCCCCCAGCCCCCCAAATTTTAACTCCTTTGAACTGGTCCCTTTTTCATTGTTCTTGGAGAGCTTGGGTTGATCACAGCCATTTTTGACTCTCTGGTCCTCTGTTTTTAACATGAGATTCTGAATTCTCTTTTCAGCGCCTCACATTCTCTGGCCCAAGTCCAAGGATTATTTTGGCACCTTTTCTCAATGTCTCTGTCTGTAATTCGCTGTTTGCTGGGCTCTGTGATTATATTTTCAATCAGGGAGTGGCCACCCCTTGATATCCAAGGTAAATGTTGCCTATAATAAAGAAATTGAGTTTGATGGTCCTGACCAGTCCTGACCAGTCCTGTCTTAGAGTAAGAAAGATTTGCCTCTGAGAGCGTTCCTTCCTTGGTTTTTCCAGCACCTGGCCAGTGGGTCTTTGTGATTGCAATAGGGGTGTTTCTGGGTGATACTATGAGTGGGAAAGGCAACTGGGGCACAGGGTGCCTTGAACTCTGGTCCAGGACATTCGTCTTGGCCATCATTCCCTGATGAACCATGAGTGACTGTGGTTAAAACTGTGATACGATCACGTCTAAGGCGTTGAAAGATATTTCTGACAGCAAAGTGTGGGATGGATCGGAGGAGGGAGTGGTGGAGTGAAAGTTGAACTTGGCTGTTTCAAAGAAATAAAAATCTCCAAGCCTGAAGGAAGGCGGTGGTGGTGGGAGAAAGAGGGTGCCAGAGAGACAAATTTATGGGACTGGTTTGTGGAAAGTTAAGAAGAAAATTAAGAAAGAGGAGTCCCACGTGGTATTGTGAATGGGCACTGAGGAGGCAGAACAGGCGTTAGGAGAGATGAGTTTGAGTCTGAGCATGTTGAATGTGTTTGCAGCAGGGCATCTTGAATGGTGACTGGAAAGACGGCTCTGGCCTTGGTGCCGCTGGGCAGACCTGAGACCTTGAGTTCACTTCAGTCCAACACCCGTTCACTGAGTGGATGGGAATGAGCTGGTCCAGAGAGGGGGCTGGAGGAGAGAAGAGAGACAGTGCTGGGAGGATGGGGAGTCCCAAGGCATGGTTTATTTGTATTCCCAGTGGACAAAGAATACCATAGACAATTGAAACCCAAATGAACCTGAATAAAAGGGGAGGGTGGGCCAGAGTTGAGCCCCCTGCCCCAGGATTACTGGTGTTAGACCCATTGTCTTGGTGCAGCCCATTGCTCTCATTTTCTTTCCTCTGTCTTTTTGTTCATGAGCTCCATCTCTTCAAAGGTGCTGAGAAGCAGTTCCCACACTCATCTCAGGAGTCCCAGCTCCACCTGCTGTTCACATCTGGACCAAAGCTAGCAATCTGAATATGTAGAAGGGAAGTCACTTGTGACAGTGATGTCAAAGGATGCAGTGATTTCTGCTGGCTGTTGTCTGGCTGTTGTCACCTTCCTCTCTCTCCTTTCTCCCCTCTCCTATTTCTTGCTTAAGAAATTCCCACTGAATAATGAAAGTATATCATTCATTGGACAGTCACCAGGACATTTGTCCATCATTTTCTCATTCTTTAACACCCTTCTTTAAAGGATTACATTTAGTATGACAGCTATCAGCGTACTTTTGGCTTAGGGTTTGGAGACAGTAATAGCAGGAATTAGAAAAAGAAGAAGTTGCCTTTGGCCCATTTCAGACTCTGAAATCAACCACTGGGGACATTCCTGGGCACCGGAAATGGAATCTACAGCCTAGGAACCTACAGTCAACTGGGAGAAAGGGAGATGCATGGTGTTTGGGCAAGTCCCGCAACCCTTCCTGGTCCTGCTGGAGGTAAAAATTAGTTCTTTCCTCTCTTCCATACCTACCCTTGGTTGTTCTTAAAATCTGTTACCCTTCAGGTATATTTTTCAGTTGACTATGACTTGATTTTTACCTTCATGGAAGTAAGGGATTCTATTGTGTGGCTGGTGGGAAAATAAAAATTGAGGTATTTGTGGACTATGATTAGATTCAAAGCTCTGTAATCACAGAATATGATTTGCTCCTAAGGAAGGTCCTGCCTGTGTCATGTAGGAACTCAGGGATGGAGCCCAGATCAGAAATCACAAAATCACCCTCCACTCTGCTTTGCTCTCTACCTTCCATGTTCCGTACATCACCCCAGCACGCCCCCTGCCCTGTGATACACGCTCTTGTCAGATGCAGTCTGGTGGCCTGTGTGGCACACGTCTGTCCCCACCACCCAGCAGACCGCTGGGGCGGCTCCTCTAGAGAACCTCAGTCTTCTCTTCATCTCCAGGTCTTCTCAGTTCCGGATGCTTCACTGGTGCTAATCAGCGTTTGCTGAAAGCACAGAACTCGATTTAGCAGGGTAGCTTCACGACAGGCGTACATAACCCCTCCCATAAGCTGAGGCTGAAACCCAGGGAGGACTGCCTTTGCGTTTCCTCCCTGTGGTGCCGTATTGCCCTTGGCTCAGGGACCCCGCAGGCCTGCCCCACTGTGACTCTCCAGAACAGTGGTTCCCAAAGGGTAGTGTGGAGATTCTGGGGGTCCCCGAGATGCTTTTAGTGGGGTCTGAGTGTCAAAAAAGTTTCATAATAATAACATGTTATTTGATTTTCTCACTCTCATTTCTCCACGAGTCTGCAGTAGAAATGACAGCAGAGACTGCATGGCGTGCGATGTGGTGACATCGTCCATCTGACAGCTAGTCAGCGTCTTCTTGTGTATAACGTGCGTTACAAAATATCTCAGTTTTAAGTTTTAATGCAAGAAACATCAGTAGATAAAATTTACAAGAACCAAAGCTCTTTGGGCTCCTCGTTAACTTTAAGAGTGTAAAATCTTCCCAAGACCAAGCGGTGTGAGACCTGGGGCAGTGGATGCCTCCCTGGGGCCCCTCCCCTCCCTGACAGGCTCTGCACAGGCCAGGCTGGCAATTCTGGCCCCAGGTACCGATCCCCACATACCTCTCTGGACCTCGCAGAGCCCAGCTCATGCTCCGCCCGGCCTGCGCCCGACACTGACGGTGTCTCCCTTGTTGACAGTCTCCGCCTCCTCTGTGTGGTGAGCCCTTGTCAAGAAGGGAGCAGGCAATGCGAGTGGTTGTGGACCTGGGAGATGGCTGGCCCTTTGGGACATTGAGAATGGGTGACCGGAGAGGAAAAGGGGAACTGCTGGCTTGTGCAATGTCCCCTGTGTCCTCCTGTGGCCCCTGATCTCCTCCAGGGTCCTCCCAATGACTTCCCACTCAGTCCCCGCTTCTCCTCTCTGGCCCTGATTTGTCCCTCTGTGTCTTCTCTCCCAGCCCCAGCAAGAGAGCAGAGATGTGGCCAATCAGGAGAAAAGATTTTTTTTTTATTGAGAAACAGGGAGGAAGGAACATTAAAGGGCTTGGAGTACTTTTAATGGGCTCAGAGTCTAGAGGGTGGGTGAGCTTGGTTGGGAGTTGTGGAGAGTATTCGGGAAGAAATACAAACAGAAGACCTCACTGCCTTCACTGAGGAGCGTGGAGCTGTGCTCTGAAGAACGCTGGAGAAATTTCTATCGTTTAGCCAGTATTGTTTTTGTTTTAATTTTTCAACTGCGTTTACTCCTTGAAACCTTCGTAAAGTTGTTGCATCCCAGGAAGGCCGACTGCTAAACAAGGAAATCTGTGCCCTTGTAATGATCTCATATGACCAGCAGGAGGCAGCATGGTAGAGGAGACAGCAGCTGGACAGTCGGGCCTCGTCCTGACCACAGCAGTGGCAGAGAAGGGCAAGAACTGGTCTGGCCCCCAGGGAAGAGCTTGGGAACATGGCACGTCTGTCTACACCATGCAGTCTCCTGGGAGAGGAGCACGGAGGAGTCGCTGATTTGGGAGGAAAACCCAATATACTGTGATGATATCTTTCTTCTTGCGTCTAAAGAGAGGCAGCGGCTTCTAAGCTGTCTGTGTTCCCAGCAGGTGCAGGCAGAGAGGGGTTGGCGTGGGGCAAGGGCGTGCGGTATCTTCATGATCAGGTGGCGGAGGGCGCTTCTGGAGGGGTCACTGCTGCTTCGGCAGGTACTCCTGCTGCCTGGGGGGGCACTTCACAGGGGGGCACTTCACAGGGGGGCACTTCTGCTGGCTGGGCCCCCCCGGGGGACACGGCTTGGGAGGGCAGGGCTCAGGGACTTTGGGAGGGGGCTGGCAGGGGACTTTGCATTGCTGCTGCTGCTGCTGAGACATTTTCCTTAGATTGACGATAAACTGAAAGAAGGAAAAAAACCCTTTAGAATGAGACAACATCAGTGGAGAAGGTTATTTCCAAGTTAACACGAGAGACAAGCACTGTCTCTCATTACTTATTTCTCTTTTTTTTTTAACATTTTTTAAAATTGAGTTATGGTCAGTTTACAATGTTGTGTCAAATTCCAGTATAGAGCACAATTTTTCAGTTATACATGAACATACATATATTCATTGTCACATTTTTTTTCTCTGTGAGCTACCACAAGATCTTTTATGTATTTCCTTGTGCTATACCGTATAATCTTGTTTACCTATTTTACATTTTGAAATCCCAGTCTGTCCCTTCCCACCCCCCGCCCCCTTGGCAACCACAAGTTCGTATTCTCTGTCTGTGAGTCTGTTTCGGTTTTGTATTTATGTTCATTACTTATTTCCTTAATAGGAATGCTATGGCCATCTTATTTCACTCCCTCCTGAGACCACCCACCCTACAGAAGCCCCCATGTCGACCACAGTGGCCAAAAAAGAGAATTTTCTTAGGGGCTGCCCCACAGGTGCCAGTGTCTCTCTGTCTGCTCCACCTGGGAGTTGGTGCCTGGACTGTACCCTGTCCCTTAAATGGAGCATCTTTGCTCTGCTGGGAGTTGGGGGAAAGAACGAGTTTGGAAAGTGTGCTTGAAATAAAAGGTAACATGCCTTTAGAGGAATCAGCTTGAAGAAAAGAAGTTTAGGGGGGACAATAAAGCATCTGCTAAATTTTATAAGACCAGTTGATGCGAAGAGACTAAACTGGAGAAGTTAGATGACATTTCTTTCAGGTACGATGGAACATTTTCTTGCCCTGAGACTGCCTGTATTTGTTGCTGAAGCATTTCTTCCCCTGACTTTGCCCTTTTTGGCAATGTGTCTAGCCCTCCCGAATCATTCCTGACTGTTTTAAACTTGACCCACTGCTTCTACAAGGAGAATTACTGTCCCTTTGTGTTGGCTGTCTGAAGAGTTAGAATCCAGAGCAGAGACAGAGTCAGCAGGAAACCCCAGCCAGGCACCCAGCTCAGACCCTCACTGCATAAATCCTCGTGCTCTGGCCTGTGGTAGAAAGCTTGACCTTAAAACAAGAGAAAGATTCAAGGAGGAGCATAAGAAAGAACAAAGACTGGGGATTTTGAGAGCTAAGTTCTGGCCTCAGCTTTGCCAACATCCATTAGGCTAAGCTGGAGCTTTTCCCTCTATAACTTCAATCACTTAATCTCAAATTATTTCCTATTTTAGAACAGCACTCAACAAACTTTTCCTATAAAAGGCCAGAGAGTAAATATTTTAGGTTTTTCAGGCCAGTCTTCGTCACAACTCTTCAACTCTGCCATTGCCGTGCAGGAGCAGGCATAGACAGTATGTAAACAGATGGGCCTGACTGTGTTCCAATAAAACTTTATTTACAAAGACAAGTGGGCTGAGCTTGGCCTGCGGGCTCTAGTTTGCTGACACCTGATTTAGACCCTGACTTTCTGCCTCATGTTCCATCCCACTTCTCTCTGCTCATGGTCTCTCCCACCGGGTCTCTCTTTTCTGGTCTGTTTTATCGGTTCCCACTGCTGTTCCTGATCGTCTGTCTTTTCCTTCCCACCTCGCCCCACAGCTCTCCACAATTTTCTCGTTCCCTCCAATGGGAACCTATCGACCGCCTCCCGAGGGCTTCCGCGCCCTCAGCGCAGAGCCTCCCCACTCACCTGCCTCTCCGGGCTGTTCGAGGCCTCTGGGATTCAAGTGGCATGGTGAAGCTCGGAGCAGGGTCCTTTTATCCTGGGCTCGGCTGGCAGCAGGAAACAAAGGGGTTTCCCCACCACTTCCTGATGTCCTGGTGTCTCACTCAGTTCTTGAAAACACTTGCCAAATCCCCTCTTTGCACTCAAAACTCTAGTTTGGCAGCTTTGGGGTGGATAAGAGCATTTCTATTTTCTCAGGAAGGATTTAGTATGTGAGTGTGATGGGTGGGGCAGAGGGATATAGGGATAAATGCGTTTCCTTCAAATGTACGTGCTGCTTCAATAGAGTTTGGGTGAACATGAGGAGACAAGAGGAAAGGAAACTCTGGGCTGGAACGCCTGGAGATAGAGTCCTAAGGATGCCAGGATTGGACACTAATGCACGTCATAATCCATCCTAGAGTCTCTGCCCCACCTTTCATACAGAGTAAATGAACTTACATCCACACCACACACATCATCTCTATCACTGATGTTTGTGGTCAAATGAAGTTAAGATCGTTTACCCAAAGACCACTGAGCACCTACCAGGGTCCAGGTCTGTGAGTAGGGAAGGATACAATAATGACTAAGACCCAGTGTAGGCCCAGGAAGAACTCAGTCTAGTGGGAGACAGATGTGAGCATGCGGAGAGAAGGGGCAGTGCAGGATGGCGGTGTTGGATTAACACACCACACATTTGCTCCCTGGGAGGTTCTGCAGAAGAGGGGTCTCCTGTACAGGAGATTCTTTCCCCTTCTAGAACTGTCCTGAGCTCTGGAGCGTGATTTATCCCTTCTTCACCTGCTTCATATCATCCTGCCTCCAACGATCATCCATGAATTCATATTGCACTCTCTTCTCCCCTTCATCAGGACCCTCTGTTATGTCCCGTATTTCCAAAGAATGAAATGCGAACCTCTTGTTGGTCATTGACCTTCCTTATTGGTCCTAGGTGGCTCCTTCTCTGCAATAGCCAATGACCTCAGAGTCCTGGGCACCATCTTTCCCCACCTGGTAGCTCAGGATTTTTTTTGTGGTAATGAGAAAATCTCAACAGTGCGGGCAGAAAAATGGGTGCCTCAAACAGAGTCTAAATCCTTAAGTAATTTAGCTTATTCTACACCCCAAATTTTAGCAAAGACCCCCTTGTTAATGGAAAATGTAATGAAAGTATTGTTAGAACAAGGCATGGGTCAGGTGGCAGGAAACCATACATCTTGTGAACAGTAGGAGTCCTAGGGGCTAGCAAAAAAAAAGCAGGAGCCTTCGGGCTGACGGGAGCCCACACATCTTGTGAACGAGAGGGGTCTTAGAGGTTGACAAAGAAAGGTGGGAATCTCTGGCGTCTGAAAGTAACCTTTTGCTCATTATGCCCTCCTTACAATAAAATTAGCCTTGCAGATAAGAAGTACCCACCACGTACCAATGCCATGACACTTCCAATCAAGACCAAGGAAGGACAAAAACTCCCCCTCTCCTCAGGAAGTTGAAGCTGGGGTGAAAATGAGGAAATATAATCTCAATCTCCTTCCTTCTCAATGAATATTCCATCCAGTCATTTTTGGGGGATCATTTATCTTTAAAATCTTTTATAATTGATGTCTAGTTGATTTACAGTGTTAGTTTCAGGTGTACAGCAAAGTGATTCAGTTACACACATACATTCATATATATTTTTTTCTTTTCAGATTCTTTTCCATTACGTATTATTACAAGAGATTTAATATAGTTCCCTGTGCTATATGTTTATCAATTTTATATATAATAGTGTGTGTCCATTAATCCCCAACTCCTAATTTATCCCTCCCATACCCAGTCATTTTTTTTCTCCCCAAATAACCAGCTTTCCAAAGAAACTGTCTACTCACCTAAGCTTGCCTGCTCTCCCCTTGAGAGTATACATCACTGAATAAATCCTAGCTTTGCTTTCTTGACCTCCATGTCTTATCTCTGACTTATTTCTGTGACAAGACAAGAAGCTACTCTCTGGCAACTGTATGGACATTTTAACAGTATGAAGTATTCCAACCCATGGACATAGAAGGTTTTCCACTTACTGGTACCCAAGTTTGCAGACAAAGCCAAAGCATAGGCAACCCAGTGCTCTTATTTTTGGTAGAATTTGACAAGCTTACTTAAAAACGAAATTTTAAAATTTGGTTCTATTGAATGCATTCAGGAATTTCAACACATTTTTGTTGGTGGCACTTGATGAGGTTACTTTAAAATTCATATAGAAAGACAAATGACTAAGACTATTCTAGAAGTTCTTAAAATATAACAAATTTAGCTACCAGATATCAATACTACAGTAATTAAGACAGTGTGGTATTACTGTAAGGACAGACACATGGACCAACGGAACAGGATGGAGACTCCAGAAACAGACTCACAGATACACAGCCACTTGGCTTATGACAGAGGGGGCTCTTCAGTGCAGTGGGGAAAGGGTGGTCCTTTCAACAAGTGGTACTCGGATCACTTTGCTATTCCTATGGGTCTGAAAAAATATATCTTGACTCCAAACAAAAATTAGTTCTGGGTGGATTATCTCCATTTGAATGGTAAAATGACAGAATTTTAAAAAAAGGGAGAGCATATCTTCATAATCTTGTCAACAGCAAAAATTCCTCAAACAAGGGCTAAACAGCATAATTATAAGGAGGAAAATGACCAATTAGATTTCATTAAGATTAAGAATTTCTGGTTGTTAAAAGCCACCACTGTGATGGCAAAAAGGCAAGCCACAGAGGTTTAGAAGCTATTTGTGATACATATATCTCACAAAGGACTTGTATCCAGAACACACACACACACAGATAGACACAGACACATAGACACACAGACACACACACACACTGTCTCTCTTATATAGATCAACAAGCAAACAAGAAACAAAAATAGAAAAATGTCCAAGCAACTTGAACAGGCAGTTTATGGAAGAGTATTTCCAAATTTCCAATACACATATAATAAAGTGCTCAACCTAATCAGTCGCAAAAGAAATAAAAATTGAAATCACAATGTATTACCTGCACATCACCACTGAAAAGGCTGCTGTGTAAAGGACATCGACAAGATTGCTTAGAGTGTGGAACTATGAAAACTTTCATATACCGTTGGTTGGAGTAAACGTTGTATAGAATTTTTGGAAAAATTCTAGAGCTGGACAATCTATCCTCTGATCCAGTCATTATACTCCTAGGTGTGTGCCCAACGGAAGTATATACAGATAGTAACAATACATGACCACGGATGTTCACAGTAGCATCATTAAAAAAAAACTTGGTTCTTGTTTCAGCAGCACATACACTAAAATTGGAAAGATGAAACAGTTTTAAATTGGAAACTTCTAAAATGCCAGCCAACAGTCAAGTGGCTACATAAATAGTGGTGTATTCCGGTCAAGAAAGACTATACAGCAATGAGGTGAATTACAACCACAATCTGCGGTTATGCCCTGGGAAGAGAATGAATCTCACAAATACAGTTCTGAGGGGAAAAATTCAGGCAGTAAAGAATTTCTACAGTGTGATTTCCTTTTTAACAATTTCAAAACAAGAAAATCAAATCTGTGGCGTTAGATGTCAGGACAGCGGTGATATTTGGGGGTGGGTAGTGACCGGGAGGGGACACAGCAAGATGGGCTACCAGGCTGCTGGTAACGTGCTATGTCTTCATCTGTACACTGGCTACATGGTGGTCCAGCTAGTGAAAGTTTATTGAGTTGTATACTTAAACTTTGTGGTATTTTATGAATTCATCCTTCAAATTTAGTTCAAGTGAAAGGTTACTTTAAAGAAAAGGAGAGCAATGGAAATGCCAAGATCCCTGCAAGGTGGTCAATGAGGAAAGAGAGAGATGATGAGGACAGCAGGGTAGGCAGATATTGTAAACAACTTCACAACAATAAAGTCTACAACTTATAGGAAAAGCGTAAGTTCCTTGAAAATACAAGTAACAGAAACTGACACATAAAAAAATTTGAATATCCTGCAAATGATCTTTCGATGTGTCAACTTGGCTAGGCTACCATCCCTAGTTATTCAAACTCTAATCCAGGTGTTGCTGTGAAGGTGGATGTGATTAGTGTTCATAATTAATTGACTTTGAGTAAGGGAGAACACCCTAGATAATCCGGTTGGTCTGATTCAACTGCAGGAAGACCTTAAGAGTAAAGCTGGAGTGTCTCTGAAGAAACTCTACGTGTGTACAGTAGCTTTGGCCCGTGACAGACAGTTCCAGCCTGCCATTCCCGGCAGCCAGCTCTATGGATTTTGGACTTGCCCAGCTGGGCCCCACAGTCATCATATAAGCCAAGTCCTTGCAATGTATCTCTGAATGTATGTCTCCTACTAAATATGTTCCTCTGGTTGAACCCTGATTAATACAATCCCTGTAATTATTAGATAAATTGAACTCATAGTTTAAAACCTCCCCATTTAAAAAATTGCAGGTCGAATTTGGTTAACTAGTGAGTCATACCAAACACTTAAAGGAGAAAAATGTTAATCATACATCATATTTTCAGAAGACAGAGAAAGAAGGAGCAAATTCTCACCATGTCTTTTTGGTGGTAGCATAGCTCTGATACTGAAATTCGACAAGAACATTACACAGAGGAAAATGTTTCATGGGGTTGGATATGTGGGGGCAGCCAGACATTGGTGGGAGTGCAGAATGGCACAGCCAACTCAGAAATCAATCTAGCAGTTTCTTAAAGTGTTACACATCCATCTGTGCTATAACCAAGAAGCTTCATTTCTAAACATTTAAGAGAGATAAAAACATGTGTCCACAAAAGACCTGTACATAAATATTCATAGTTGCTTTGTTGAAGTAGAGCCAAATTGAAACAACCCAAAATGTTCAACATACAAATGGATGGGCAAATTGTAGATAATTCACACCGTGGAATACTGCCTAGCAATTGAAAAAAAAACCCTAAAGAAACTACCAATCAAAGCAATAGCATGATGAATATCAAAACATCGCGTTTAGCAAAAGAAGCCAAGCACAGAAGAGTGTACCCTGCACGATTCTGTTTGCATGAAGGTCCAGAATGAGCAGAGCTAACCCGCGGCGACAGAAATCTGGACGGCAGATGCCTTTGACAGGGGATTAAATAG